CTCTCAATTCCTCCAATTTCCCAATTCCTCCAATTCCTCACCCCTGTGACTCAAGTCTTATGATATTTGTTCCCTAAACCTTATCTTGTCCTGCAGAACTCTGCGTGATTTCAGCACCCCCGCCCAATGCGCCCACTCCATGTACTCATGACTGCCTATTCAGCACCCCACCCAATAAGGACCACCTAATGAACTAATGACCCTGCCACTTCTGCCTCTCCACCCTTCCCCTGTTTTTGCGGTTTTCAAGCTTAAATACTGACCCCTTGTCAATGCCCGGCGTGCCTCTTTACACCTTGCATAGAGACCGCCGCTGGGTACCAGCTAAAATAAAGCGCTTCTTTTAACTTTTGGACTTGTCTCATTGTTATCTGATTTTTGAGTTACAACACTGGTAGACTGGATACGATGTAAGGGACAGAAAGAGGCTTGTCTCCCATTCCCTTGCTTACTTTTGCTGTCTTCTGTCACCACAAACTGTGTCTCCTCTGGAATGTCCCTCTGCCAAGACACCCTGCCTTGGACCCAGCCAATTGTGGACTGAAACCTCTATAAACTGTGAGCTAAATAAACCTTTTCCCCTTTAACTCTGGGTGTCAGGTATTTTGTCTCAGAACAAGAAAAAAGTAACTAAGTGTCTCAGTTACTTTTCACTTGTTGGGATAAAATACCCAACACTCAAAATTAAGGAAGGAAAGGTTTATTTAGCTCACAGTTAGTGGAGGTTTCAGTCCATACTCCCCCGGCTCCAAGGCAGAGCAGCACATGGCAGAGGGCAGAGGTTCATGGCAGCAGAAACAGCAAAACAGCAAAAGCAAAAGGGAGGAGCAGTGGCAACAATGGCTCCAGAGAGCAAGTCTGTCTCCCTTATGTTACAGTCACACTATCTGCCTCATGCTGGGTGTGGCACTCACACCCATAATCCCAGCACTGGATCATGAATTAATCACAAAGTCTAGAAGTCCACCACACGAACCAGCATGATAGCTCATCTGTCTAAAGTGCCTGCTTAGGCAAATTTAGGCAAAGTGAAGGGGCCGGGGCTCATGCTGCACCAGCCCCGTCGCCAAGGCAGGCTGAACCAGCCACACACATGCACACACACACACACACACACACACACACACGAAGTCCACCCTATGACTGCATGAGGCTCTGGGGACACCTAGACACATACCATAAGACAGCGAGTCTTTTAGATTTCAATGATATGAACAGCCCACTGTTGTATGTGGGCCATAGGTTTGACACCATTGGCCTAGAGTTCCTGATCCATTTATTTATTTATTTATTTATTTTTATTTTAAGTATTTAGTACAGGGTCAACAGGGTCTCACTATGTATATTGGACTTGTAGTACTTTTCCTCTCAAGTGCTAGGATTATAGGTGAGCACCACCACAACCCAGTCTCAATTGCCGGTGCACCTGGGGGGCGGGGATGCACAGCACACCTGGATCAAACCCTGGCCTTGCGCTCTGACTTAAGCAGACACTTTAGTCTGCTGAGCTATCTGGAAGGCCCTCTGATCCCTTTAGAGGGAGGTGGTAACAGCGGTTGTCACAGATACTCAAGAGGCTGAGGTAAGAGGATCACTGAGCCCAGTAGTTCAAGGCCAGTCTTAACAGCATAAATCCAAACTTAAAATATAAAAAGGAGGGGCCAGGGAGATGGCTCAGTGGAATAAGCGCTTCCCTGGCAAGCACAAGGGCCTGAGTTCAATCCCCAGTTCCACCAAAATAAATAAATAAAAAGGAAAGGGTTGGGAATGTAGCTCTGTGGTAGAGCAAAGACCTAGTATGAGCAAAATGCCCTCACAAAAAGAGTTCCTAATTCCGTTGTTCACTGCAAAATACCTCATAATTCAAGAACATTGTGGCTGAGTTGAATGCTGCTTACAGCCCACCAAGAAAAGCTTAAAAACAAGACTTAAAAGCACCAAGTTTTTTCTAAGTAACTTCTGTACATTTTATTTGTTTGCTCATTTATTCTGAATTTTTGAGACAGGATCTCACTATGCAGTTCAGGCTGGTCTTGAGTTCACTTTGTAGCCCAGGCTGGTCTCAAACTCACAAGGATCCTCCTGCCTCAGCCTCCTGAGTGCTGGGATTACAGGAGTGCACCACCATACAAGACCTACATTTTAGGACAAAACTCAAATTTATTACACACATCTCAAAGTATACTTCCCCATATATTGAATCCAACAAAAAAATTAGCAACATTTGGGCAGGGTGGCACATGCCTGCAATTCCAACACTATGGAGGCTGAGGCAAGAGCATTCAAACTTTGAGCCCAGGCTGAGGAATACAACTCAGTGAACCCTTGTGTCAAAATAATAGAAAAGGGGCTGGGAGGGGGGAGGGGGGAGATAAGCTCAGCATGAAGGTCTTGGGTTTAACCCCTAATACTGTACTAAAGAAAGGAAGGAAAGAAGGAAGGAAGGAAGGAAGGAAGGAAGGAAGGAAGGAAGGAAGGAAAGAAAGAAAGAAAGAAAGAAAGAAAGAAAGAAAGAAA